TTGGCTTGTAAAAAGTACACTAGTAAGTATATTGACTGCTTCAACTGTCATGTTATGTTATCATGGAACTGCTGTGAGCACGTTACAGTAACTAATAAACTCCAGTGAGGTCAAAGAACTGTAAATATAACAATATCTATCTCATTAGGACCTTAACAAGAGCAGCTAATCTTTGGTTAATTAACTCTGCCGCATGTTGAGCCAAGTTTTCTCCAAAGAACGTAATTTACCTTTAAGGTTAATTCAAGGATAACCCCATCCCTCATGCAAACGTTGACTGGGTCAGTAAGAGTGTGAGCATGTGTGTGTTTAGTGTGTGTGCGTCCCATTTGCCTGTCGGATATGACACTGACAGATGGAGGAGAAGTGGGAGGCAGGAGGGGCCTTGGGAGGGGGGTCCTCCTTTCCCTTTGTATTAGGGAGACGCCTTCTGTTGATTGGACCGCAGTGTTTGGGGTCGTGTCGGCTTCAATTTTTTTTCCCTAAACAGAGGATTTTTGTGCGGAGGATAGAATATTTAAAACCCTAAACCCTAAAATCCTGTCTCTTTGTTCAAATTTCATAATGACTAATCCATGTGTTGCCATATTGTACATTATGATGAATATCCTCAGATCTTTTTTCCCTGTGGGAGACACAGAAGACTTTAAATTATTGAGTTATTTGGGTATAATTCTATAAACTGTAATGATCTGAAGAAATAAAGCAAGTAAATTCTAGCAGTGCATCAGGTTCCACATCTTTGCTGCCATCAAATCAGCTTAGCCAAAGTCAATTAGGCCAAATTCCCAACTCAACTGACATGTCAGTGGGGGCTTCAGGAGACAAGTAGTAACTACATCTGCGAGCGTGATCAATTCAAATACTTGGAGCTCTTCGTCAAGTTGAAGTTCCTTTTATTTTCATCGCAGGTAATGTTGGGCTAAAGCAGAGAGCATGAATAATGAATGTGAGAGGCTTGCGCTCTGCTTCTTTGTGCCTCCTCTAAATTATGGATCAAGCATCCAGTCGCTCTCTCGAGTCAGTTCACGCCGCCGTTCGTCATTTTTCGCCAGTTCGATCTGGCAGTCAGTTAAGATCAATGAAGAGTCACAGAGAGGAAATGAGAGGATGTGGCGGTATGGGAGGAGGTTTTGTTTAACACAGCGGCGGCGACAACACTTGATAAGAGGACTACGAAAACAGATCACATCTAATTAAAAGCTGTAAAGCACGGTCTATATTTTATTATTGTGCTCATGAAGACTTAAAAACAGAAACAAAATGTCTGATTGAATTTTTTCTCCATTAGACCATTATATTAGACTCACTATGAAGCAGAAATGTTAACCTGCATCTGACATGGTCATTTAATTCTGCCCATTTCTTACATACCTCTTTTACTGAGTCTGAGGAGTTTCCCCTCCACAAGCAGACTCCCTAATTCTCCCATCATAGCCTGTAACTTCATCTTCAACTGTTTCCATGGAAACACTCCCTTCCTTCAGCCTTCAGTCAAGTCACGTGCAATCTTATGTTGTTGTCGCTCAGGTCTGTTAATTAGATTTGTAATAAGCAGCAGTGACTCCAAATTCCTTATATGACCAGTGGTGTTACACACATAGAGGAAAAGTAAAAAGACGATTTTAAAAAGACTGCCGTGATGCTGGCTTCAGCCACTTGAATCTGCGTGCAGAAATGTAAATAATGCAGAGGTAGTAAACCTTGATTGAGGCCATGACATAAATCATTTATGTTACTGCTCATCCCTCTTCATGTAGAGCACAAGCTCCAAACATCTACAGCACCAAATTTAACCGGGATGTCCCTAAGGTGGATAAAAAAAAGAAAAAAACAACATGATTTTTTTTTCTGAGTGAGTTTGCTCGTGGTGTGACTTTATAATATGCCTCCATGAAAAAACATCTGTATTAAAGTCTTTCAAAACTCTTACAGCAAAAACAAAGAAATTAACAAATACACCAAAAGTAAAAAGTGTGGTTTTATGATGTTTACCAAATAGTTCTGATTCAACGACAGGCAAAGTACAAAGCTACGTGCAAATCAATGCTATCATCCACTTGTCTGACTGGGTGAGTATTTCAGATAAATTGGACAGTCAGTTCTTACTGTGGCTTAAACAGGCACACTGACCCAGAGCGTGAGGGATAACTGTGACTGGCTTCTCTGTCACTCTCATCTTGTCAGTAAACACCCTCGCATCAATAAATCCTGTCACTGCCTGCTTCCTGAGACGATAAGGTAACTTAGGATAATGAGTCTGAGGGAGGAAGCGCTGACAGGATCACTTTCTGTCTCAGGGGCCTTTCAAACCAAAAACCAGCCTGTGTAAAAACAGAAGGCAAATGAGATCTTGAAACACTAAGGTTTGTAATAGGCTGAGGCAGGATTGTCAGTCATTTTATCTTTTCTCGTGATGATCAAGAAAATACGACGTCTATTTGCATATATCGAACTAGCCAATGCAATGAATCATATGGTACCACTTTGCTAAATTGGTAAGGGCATACTTGTTTGGACTATCCTGCATTTTTTTCCAGAGTCCTCTGTGTTGGCAGAACTGGACTGGCCTAAACCAAATCAATGTGGGGGTGGCCTTTTTTCACTAATTGTTGGGTCTTGGTTCTTAAAACCACAAATAGATCTCCTCATCGATATAACAACTTCAAATAGAACACTCTATCAACAACTAATGACTAATGAAGTCAAAGTGAAGGAAAGTGAGGACATTCACAGAGAGAACTTTTCCCTTTTAGCATTTGACAGACAAAACACTATTCACAAAATTTGTAGAATTTAGGTTTTTTTCCCCACTCATCCATGAGGTGGCATCAGTTTTACTGGCTGATAGGAAGTCCTACATGAAGGTTGTCAGAGTAACATGAAAGAAGGTGTGAATTGGTGTGAAAACTCCTGTGGATGTCAGGTTGCCCCCGTAACTACCTGATAGTCTAAAAGGCACCAAAAGTGTTTCCTGATGTCTCTTCCCAGGTGATATCCCACTCCTGGGAGCATAAGCTGGTACAAATGTTTGAGAAACACCAGGGCAGTGATGACATAGACATTTTATATACAGCCAGCAGATGGTGTAAACTGTTCAGGGAGGGATTCTCCATATTTGTCAGATTGTGATGCGCTGTTCTCGGATTTCTCTGGAAGAAGGGGAAGCCACAGAAAATCCTCCTATGCAGACATGTATGTCCTCTTTAAACCATTTGTTCATAATCTTGGCATTTTTCAAACTCTACACAATTGATTTGAGAAAACACCCTCAAACAGATCCAAAAAATGTGACCAGATTATTATAGTTTACATTCACAACTAACCTTTCATGGACAAAATTAATTGAGAATAAAGGTAGAGCAAATATTCTACAGTCTGGCACTGGATTACATCAGCAAGGATGCAGATAATCTAGGGAAGTCTAGGCTGGGGTTGGAGCTGCAGCGAGCATCGGAGTGCTCTGCAAAGACCAGCTACTTGGTATTCCACTCAGGTTTAGATCAGAGTCACCAGCAAAGAGCTGAGGAGGAGGCGGAGGTAGCGGAGGAGGAGGAGTATAAGGGATGTTTGCTCTGACTCCTGCTTTGTAACACAGACGAAGACAACGAGATAACCATAAAAGAGATGGTGCCGAAATCAGCCTTGAAGAAGGATCCTGAAATCTTTCATCGTTTCTATAACTGACAATGAAACTGTCTGTGCAGTCGTAGAGCCTCTGAATGCAGAAGAATTTAATCATGGGCCATGATTGTGATGTAACTGATAAAGGGGAGTTTTCTGTTTGATGAACACAACATTACATGTTGCACATTTTACACGTGTGTATTGATTCAGGCAGCCGTGAACATATTTACGTTGTGGCTCTCCAGTGCAGTACAAGTACGGATGAGGAGTCACAAATTGATTTAGAATGGGCTCGGCTTTGTGAAATATGAGACTGTGTGGTTAATATATTGCAATGCGCTGCAAGACCCCATAAAGTCTTGTTATGTTCTGTGCTTCCACAGGAAATAAATTCCACTTCTGTTTCAGCTACACTGAGAAATGACTCAGTGCTTGTGCCACACACACACACACACACACACACACAC